ACGGTTTCCTCTCCTCCTAGAAGGGGAGAGGTCAGGGGGTACAAAGCCAGAGAGGCAGAGCCTCACCTCCAGGGCGATTCTGTTGCTAGTGTCCTGGCACTGGGTGGGCACTGTGGACGGTGATTGTGCTGACACAGGGGGCCAAGTGTTCCGACCTCGTCCTTCAGCTGCATCCTGGGCAGAAACCGGATGATCCTTGCAGCCTCCCCCCGCACTGAGCTGTTTTCCACAGGAATAAACTGGCTCACCAATTATGAAGGCAGGTGGAGAGGAAGCAGCCGTGCTCTAAGATAAGAGGGTCCACCCCACTGGCAGAGTTATGTGTTTGGTGTTAAAACGTAGGTTGTGCCCTTCGTGGCTTTGAGTAGGCAGCTGATGATCCCGGGTTCCGTGGTTTTTTCCTTCTTCCCATTCAGTTGAAACCTGCAGACTGTGGTGTGGGAGAAATAGCTGATGCAGGTGAGGGTTTTGAGGCTGGGTGGTGGGAGAGGAGTCTCCCTCTTGCAGAAGTGGCGTCCACTTTTTCTTTGTAGTGACTGGTATTAGCATTTGTTCCCTTGTAAAGTCCCAGCATGTTAGATACTGCGTCTCAGCAGGCTGTTTGCTTGGTAAATAATTTAGGTAAAGTACATTTAGATTCCTCCAGACTGTGGTGGTTGTTGCCTCCTAAGTGAGCTTCAGGTTAACCACCCAGGCTTTTTACAGGGATTTCCAATAATTGGATTGAATTCCAGCTCTGCTGCCTGGATACTTAGCTACTACAGAAAGGAAAAAAAAAAAGCTATTTCATAGACTAGGATTGAAGGACTGCACGGCGGTTTGTGAACTCTTTCTAGGTGTTATTTCTTACCTGGGTTGCTTGAACAAAGGTAAGCACTTCTTTCTCTCAAACTGTCGTCAACCTTGTACCTCACAGGAGCCGTTGGGAGAGGTGACACAGAAGTCTCGTACACAGGCAGGTGGCTAAAGACCTTTCCATTTCCCACCCACGGCTGTCCATCTCTGTTCACGATTCTCAGATCAGGAAATACCAAGGAGCTTGTTGAAATGCTGCGTCCTGCATCTCGGGTTCTGGAGCAGTGATTTCCAACCATTTTAATTTCATAGCACACCTGAACCTATGGTTAAACGTCCATGGCACACTTAAATTATGTCGATCAAAAAAAAAAGAATATACTTACTGTCCTTTGAACTTCTTTCAAATATAATTTAGTGAAGGACTTTGACAATTTTCCCGGCACATCTGAGATCCTGGTGCGTTGTGGCAGACCTGTTAAAATCACTGTCCCGGAGTGTCTTAGGCAGTACATCTCAGGTGGGGCCCACGAGACTGTTTTTAATAAGTGCTTCACGTGTCTTTAGTGCAGGTGAGCCAAGGGCCAAATTCTGACACAGACACAAAGTTTGCATTTGTTTTCAAGAGAAAATAATTTTTCATGGGTCAGTGTTCCTGGTACGCAGTCCGGTCAGTGGAGCCCCTGAGTTGATTGCAGGAACTATTAGAATTGAAGTTAGAAGAGAGAATTATATATGCCGTGTTGTTCTGTAGCATTTTCAGATGGGGGTAATGAAGTTAAGCATAAAGCAACAACCCATTAACAAACAAGTGATTCTCCTACTGTGAAGACAGAGCAAGGGAGAGAGCACAAGCCCGGGAATGGGGTGTGGGGAGGCGAGTGCGCCTGGGAGCCCAGATGCACGTCCGCTTGAGAGTCTGAATAAATCTGTCCTGCCTGTACCTAACTGAAACTAAATGTAAGTCAGTGCTCAATGGTATCTGGTAGTGTTTCATGGAAGCAGAGCTGGAGGTCATTGTCCAAGCCCCCTGACCTGCGCAGGTGTAGAAACCGAGACCCCAGGAGGACAAATGTTTGCACAGGCAACACGTGCAAAGCTAGGCCTGTGTCTCGGAGCTTCAGGTTCTTCCGCTGTAAACCAGAAAGGGAGATAACTGTCCCCACTTGGTGGTTGTGAGGATTAGATGCTTGTGTCAGGATGTTTGACAACTGAAGAAAGAGAATTATATAGATGTCAGTCGCCAATTATTATGCATACTGTGTTTTCTTCTAACTGAAGTGTTAAGAACCATGCTGGGAATCTCTCTTTTTTTTTTTTTCCAAGACTGAGCCGCACACTGTTGCCCTGGGTAGAGTGCTGTGGCATCACAGCTCACAGCAACCTCCAACTCTGGGGCTCAAGTGATTCTCCTGCCTCCACCTCCCAAGTAGCTGGGACTACAGGTGCCCGCCACAACACCCGGCTATTTTTTGGTTGCAGCCATCATCGTTGTTTGGTGGGCCTGGGCTGGATTTGAACCCACCAGTTCAGTTGTATGTGGCTAGTGCCTTAGGCTCTTGAGCCACAGGCGCTGAACCTGGGAATCTCTTGAAATGAAGTCTACCTGATTCTGGATAAATGACTGTATGCCAAGCACTGTGTATTTAAGAAATTTTGTTGGGCTGAGCATGGTGGCTCACACCTGTAATCCCAGCACTCTGGCAGGTCAAGGCAAGTAGATTGTTTGAGCCCAGGAGATCAAGACAAGTAGGAGCAAGAGTGAGACACCCCTCCCTAAAAAAATATAGCCAGGTGTGTGGCAGGTGCCTATCGTCCCAGCTACTTGGGAGTCTGAGGCAAGAGGATCATTTGAACCCAAGAGTTTGAGGTTGTTGTGAGGTATGATGCCATGGCACTCTACCCAGGGTGACACAGTGAGAATCTGTCTCAAAACAATAAAACACCCTTTCATATGGTCATTGTGGTGAACTTCAAAGGTGCAGATAATCAAAAGAAAGAATATTTTAAGTCACCCCTAACTGCACCACTCAGATGATCACTATTAACATTTTGCTGTAAAGGCCTCTGGTATTTTCTTACACGCGCATCTATTATGTATATGCTTTTCACTCCTGGGCAACCTGCATTTCTTAACAGCACATATGTTGTGAATATTTTTCAACATTAATACCTCTGTGCCATCGTTTTAAGTGACTTGCCTACTACCCCATTGTATGTGCTAAAGAATATTTAGTCAGTCTCTTCCTGGACAGAGGTTTTTCTTCTTCCTGATATTGTTCAGTATTGTCTACAATGCTGAAATCATCTCTGAAGCTGAATCTCTTCTACAGCAATTAAGTTTCTACGTTTACATCGACTACTCTAAAAATCAGAGCTGAAGTTAGATGCTGCAGTTAAGATAAGCTGCATGTTGGTGGGAACTGGCTTTGAAATGAGTAGATGCATTTTTTAAAATGTTATTATTATTTGAGATTAATTGAAGGTACAAAGAATTAGGTTACACCGATTGCATTTGTTAGATAAAGTCCCTCTTATAATTGTGTCCCACCCCCAAGAGGTGTGCCATACACCGTGACTCTCCCCATGTCCCACCCTCCTCCCCTCTCCCCACTTGCTCCTTCCCCCACCCGCCCCTTGTATTAGCTCATTTACTGCCTTCATATCAGGATTGAGTACATTGGATTCTGGCTTCTCCATTCTTGTGATGCTTTACTAAGAAGAATGTGTTCCACCTCCATCCAGGTTAATACAAAAGATGGAAAGTCTCCAATTTTTTTAGTGGCAGAATAGTATTCCATGGTCTACAAATACTACAGCTTGTTAATCTACTCCTGGGTTGGTGGGCATTCAGGTTGTTTCCACAATTTGGTGATTCTAAATTGACTGCAAACTAATACAACCCTTTTGGAAGGAAGTATGGAGAATCCACAAAGAACTCAAATTAAACCTCCCATTTGATCCTGCAATCCCATTACTAGGCATCTACCTAAAAGAAAAAAAACATTTAATCATAGGGACATTTGCACTAGACTGTTATTTATTTTTGTATCCCCATGTCCTAACTTTATGCTTTTCGATCTTTCTGACGTACTTGAGTGTTCAGGACGCCGCCTCCGCCAGTCTTCTCTCTGCCTTGCCTCAGAGCATTGCAGTTCTGACCTTGCTGTTTCTTCTGAACTCCTGATTTCCTGTAGGCCAAGTCGTTTGTGGTTTCCAAGTGACCTTGTGGGCTTAGCAACTCTACTCTGTCACCCAAGAATTCCCTATCCAGTTATGGCAAATACTCTTCCTTTTATTAAACAAAGTTGATAATCAGGAGAGCGACCTTTCATATTCTCAATTCTTAAAATTGTGCTTTCTTAAGTTAAATGGCATGTTAGGAGTGTTTCTGATATAAAATTGGAAACTTTCAGATACCAGAAGGCATTGCTTATCTTTGTAAATACACATGTTCCAATTAAAATAGGTACTAAAATATTTTGGTGGCACTTCAGAACTCCCAATTTAGATTTAATTTAGATTAAAACACTTACTCTTTTTAATAAAGTTATAAAATTGATTATTAAAATTGCCTATTGAAGATTAAGAGCAGTGGAACGTTTATTTCCCTTACAAAACAATTTAGTCTTCAATAACTACAATTGTATTAATCAATTATGCTATTAAAATACAACTGCCATATTAAATCTGACCCATTTGTCATGACAGTTTCTATAATTATAGAAATTATACCTAGCTGCTTACATAGCTATAATCCTGCAATAAATATAAATAATTGTCTCTATTAATTCAGCTCGTGGTTACTGTCTATTAAATCCTCAGTTAAATGGCAATTTGGGAACCTTCATTTAAAATCCTCCTAAATCTTTGTTGTTCCGTTTGACTGCCAAAGCCCCACAAATGCACCTCCTACCGTTGATTCCAGAAACCAATTTACGAATAAAATAGTTTTAAAAATATAAATATTTAAAAGGTCCATTTAAGCTTGAGGTTGGAGGCTCTCAGGAAAAAAAAAGGAAGGAGGGTGTGCAGGTTGGACAGAGGGCGCTGACAGAGGAGAGGGGAACAAATCTTGGCGTCTTGGTATGTCACTCTGGAAAAGGGTGTGTAGGTTTTAGTTTGGAAAACTCCGCTTAGCGCCACCTGTGGGAGGGCCGGAGTCCTAGAGCACGCGGCTGAGTAACTGTTCACAACTTGCACAGGTGTGGACGAGGTCACCATCGTCAACATCTTGACCAACCGCAGCAACCCACAGAGACAGGACATCGCCTTCGCCTACCAGAGAAGGACCAAAAAGGTACGGGTGACTTCAGGGACAAAGGGCATTCCGTGGGGGATTGCATTTCTTCAGGCATTGCTTTGTTTCTTTTCACGACTTGTGGCTCTCCCCAGCGAAAGCCTTGCGTAACCCTTGGGTATCTCACATCCTTGTGAAAATTACTACTCGTACCATTTGGTCCCTGGGGCCTTTGGGAGCTCATCTGTACGGACCATACCCTGCTTCAACCCAGACCACACGGAGGGAGCAGTTCTGGGGATAGAAAGTGAAAAAGGCCTAGGGAAAAATAACAACGGCAACAGTGATAGATGCCGTTGAGCGAGTCCTTACTTTGTGCCAGGCACTGTGCTTAGGACTAAGCACTCTGCACATGACAGTTCCTTTCACCGTCATGACTTCTGCTGGCTCTTGCTAAGATGTTTCTAATTGAATCTCAGCACATTGTCCTCCGCCGAGGATTGATCCTAACATGCTCCTCTCATTCTTAAAATATATACTCGAATCGCTAAGAGTTTCGTAACTAACAGGCTCAGCTGGTAGTTCGTTTGTGCTGCAAGGCTATCTTCGGCGAGCCATGCTCCTGCTATTTAAAGGGTCTTTGTGTGCCTTTTCCTTCGCTTGTCCACTAGTGGTTAAGAAACAACCGGCACTTGTTCATCCTTTATTTTGTCGCAGTGCTAGGAAATTTTATTTTTAAGGATGTGCTGCTTTATTTTTAACTTCTTGCTATTAAAAGCTTTTGATTTATTCTTGGATGGTGCGGTAAGTGCAGCTTCCTGCGGCTCCCGTTTGACTTATGGCTTTCACTCAGAGCCACCGTGGGGGTCGGCTGGAAGCCTCTGGAAGAGACATTTCTGCCCCTGAGGTTGACAGTACCACCAGGGTCCTTGGCGTTGGAGGTCAAGCCTTGCTCTAGCACCCTCCCTCGCCCTCCAAAACAGTTGAAAAGGACACAAATAGGAAAGCATCTGGCTTCTCTCATCTCCTGTGCATTACGTTTTTTCTTCTAGTAGACTTAACATTAATCTTCTGTAGTGAGGCATAGAGGAGAGCGTTTTATTTCTACAGCTTCCTGGAAAGATTTGTGAGCTGGTGGAGCCAAGTTCCCACTGGAGTAGAAGGCCCAGCGCTTTGAGTGGTAGGCAAAAAATTGGTCCCTCAGCTGTCACTTACAGAATACAGTCTTAGAATACATGTAGGTATGTACACGCAGGTATACATATGATCACAGAAGCCTGGATCTTGATGGAGAACAAGGCTCTCACATGCCCTTTTGGAAGGAAGAATCACGATATGGTTCCAAGACCTCACACGCTTTGCCCTGTGCCTCCGAGGTTCACCATCACCATTCTGCTGATTCTTGCTCTCATCCTTAGGCCAAGGAGAGTTGTCATCTTTTACAAAAAGATGCATGTACTTTTGAGATCGTATCTGAAGGGAATCCTAGAAGCAAAGCAGAACCTCCCCATTTCAAAGGAGTCGTTCATAAACTGCAGGAGAAAGGCGTGTATTATAGAGCACTTTAGGATGCGGCCAGCGGCCAGCTGGCGGATGAACATGGAGAGCTTGGGCACAGCCAGCAGGAGTGAGAGGGGCTGGGAGAGGCATCTGAGTTGCTGTTTCTTTCATGGTCCAGCAGATGCCAGATTTCTCCGTGGAAGGAAGGGTTGTGTTTTATTTATCATTGCCGGCACTTTGGTTAGTGCAAAGTTCTGTGCTGGACCTTATAAGAAACAGGAAGTTGATTGGCCATAATGAGTTTGGAATAGAAGTGGAAGAATTCAGTAGGCGCCCAGATGCCATTTGAGGTTTGAACAGAGAATGGGTAGAGGGGAGTGTCGGGGGTAGGCTAAGTTTGGAGTTACCCAACCTCAAAGTTCCAAACTGGAAAGCTGGTGTTATAATTGGGAGGTGTTGCTTTTAAATCCCCGTCTAAGTGCTGTGTGTTCCTAGGATATGGTGAAGCAGGAGAAAGTAGGCAGGGAGAGGCGTGGGCCGGATTTCTAAGCTGCGTGTCAGTTCTAGCATCCTTTTTTTTTGAGACAGAATCTCAAGCTGTCTCCCTGGGTAGTGTGCTGTGGCATCACAGCTCACAGCAACCTCAAACTCTGGGGCTTAAGCAATTCTCTTGCCTCAACCTCCCGAGTAACTGGACCACTAGCGCCTGCCACAATGCCCGGCTGTTCTTTTTTATTGCAGTTGTCATTGTTTTAGTTGGCCTGGGCCAGGTTCGAACCTGCCAGCCTCTGTGTATGTGGCTGCTGCCCTAAGCACTGAGCTACAGGCACTACCAGTTCTAGCGTTCTTGACATGTATGAATGATTCAGAGGTGACTGTCTCTGAAGCAGGCTGTACATCACTCTCAGCTTGCAAGTACCTCCAGGGGCTAAACACTAGAAGCCACGGGTGTTATTACGAAGCAGGAGAGAAATAAAGAAGGGAGAGAAGGGAAAGGGTGAGAAGAAGCAAGATAATTGTTACAATAGGAGAGTTCAGTTATCACTCATGATTTACAGGGAGTTTCTTTTCTGAAGAAGTATCTAAAACACCCACATTGGATGGGCTTGAAATCTTACATTCATGGTGACAGTGGAACCCCTAAGAAAGTATATGTAGTCAGGAATTCAGGGGAGTGATTGGGGGGCTTTTGTTTTCTCTCCCATCTATTAACATTGTCCCAATCGAATGCGGACAAATAGATGTTTTCTCAGTATTAGATGAAGTGTTTTGCACAGGAGAACTTCATGACCCCACTTCCAGCTATGCTGGGGCCTCTGTTTCCCGCTGGTGACTGGAGGCAGTTCCCCCTGGAACAGCACAAACATCTTTTACAGCAGTGGTTCTCAACCTTCCTAATGCCCTTTAATACAGTTCCTGTGGGTCATGACCCACAGGTTGAGAACCGCTGTTTTACAGACTAGCAGGCTCCGAGGACTGCTTCCTAGGAGGCTCTGCACTCTGACACTTCCCCCTTAGTCTTGACTATGGGGTAGTCTGGCTTGCCTTAGGTGTTATCGGTTGCAGGCAGATTATAAAGTGCCTGCACACACAGCTTTTAGAGGAATTATACACTACTCCAGTTTCCTTTTAGTAACTGGGGAGAAAAGGGAAAATCTGATTAGATTTTCAGGGATTTTGGTAAAGAGAAGCGCAGTTTTTACATTGCTAACATCGGGTCTGTTGAAGCGGGGGATATAGTTGAGGGAGTCTGACCTGAGGATACAGAGTGGTCAAAGGCACACAGCCTGCTTTACAAACAGACCCTCCCGGCTTTTGTTTTCACTCACCGGCTTTAAAGTATTTGTTACCAACCAAATTTTCCATCTGATTGCTTGTTTTTCTGAAGGAACTGGCATCAGCACTGAAGTCAGCCTTATCTGGCCACCTGGAGACGGTGATTTTGGGCCTCCTGAAGACACCTGCTCAGTATGATGCTTCAGAGCTTAAAGCTTCCATGAAGGTAAATGCGTGTGAGATGTCGTCTCTGTCAAATCTGCTATTAATATGTGTGAATTACAGCTTTCTGGACGTCATTTTCAGTTTTGTTGAATTCTTATTTGGAACCTTTTTTTTTTTCTTTAATGAACTAAAGCTCCAAGTCTCAGGATTGGTAACAGAAATATTTCAGTTACTTGTTTTACGACTGTAAAGAAATTTCATGGTGCTGAGAAGTCAGTTACCAGCTGCTGTTACGACTGGGCACCTGGGCAGTTGGAATACCATTTGGGAAAACTACTTCCTTGATTACACTTCCTCCTTAAAAAAGCTGTGTTGTGATATGAAGGCGAAAGAACGACTCATAGCTTTTGTTAAGTGAAGCTTGCATATTCTGTCCATGCTCTCGTGGGTGTTTCTTCCTTTGATCTCCCTGTCAGTTCCACTGTTTGTTTCAAATTTGGGCAAAATTAGAACACCGTAGTGGGCATAGGGGTGATTTCAGATTATGAATGGTACCTGTGCTCAGTTCAAAGGACATTTTATCTTCTTTGTTTTTCTTCTGCAAAGTTACTTTGAATATTGAATTTTAGGTGAGACTAGATAGCAAAAATTCCAGGTTAGAAACCTCTTGCATTCTGTGCATATCCGAACATAGACGTTACAGACGTTACAGCAGAGCGTGTGGGTTCTTTTCATACTGTGTGCTTGCAACACATTGGATAGTCCGACACTGCCCTCTGCTGATGAAACTGGGGAAAGCCTCCGTGCTGTGGGGCGGCGGGGGAGGAGGCCGTATTTCTGAGTTTTTATTCTACGTCTCAGTGTGTTTTCTGTAAGCCTGTCACCAGAGCTAATGTCACAGTTCAGTTGTCATCCTTTCCCCAGAGAGCACATCAAGAGCGAGGCTGCTTCACACACTGGGCATTTCGAGGGATCGAACTTGATAGTTGAGAGCTGCTGAAAGATTTGTTAAGTCTATTTTCTCCCTCTGGTTCTTCAGCTGGGCTCAAGCTGTTCTCAGCTTATTTGCACAGACTTGCTTTGAGTTTCCTAAGTAAGCTATACTGCGGGAAAGGCATGATTAGGAATGATAAAATGTCAACAACGTTTAATGGTCCTGTTTGATAAAGATAGCCTATGCTCCCGGGAACTGAGTCTTTGGACCTTTGGTGGCATGGACGGATGACCCAGCCTTTCCTAGGTTGCTTCTGACCATCAGTGCTGCCTTAGATCAGTTTATCCTGTTTTCATCGAGAATCTATTTAGATGTGATTTGTATGGTTTTACTAGTATCTATTACTAGGTATTAGTGACTTGAAACAGACCTGTTTGAACTGTCAGGCACTGTTATAATCTATGTAATTGGGCCCAATGAAAGGCGCTTTAACTGCTAGATCTTTGACCTCGTGCCAGCTCTTCCATTAGCTATTACAGTCGAGTACCCTTCTGAAATCCATAAAGCTTGAAGTGACATTAACTGAACTATGCTTTAAAAAAAAAATCTGTTTTGACTTCTGGCAATACCAGTGGCAGTGTCTGCCATATGTTACAGTAGAAGTTGCCCTTGTGATGGGAATTGTGGACAATCTGTGGAAAGCTTGGGCCAAGTTTTGGAAATTGCCAAGGTCACCTTTGAATGTAGAGATTAAAACACTGTTAGGATTCTTAGATACTACCACTAGTAAGTGTATCAGCGAAGGATGGAAACAAATCTTATATTATTCTGCCTGTCTGGCATTTCCACAGTGTCAGGAGATAGCCTTTCTTCCAGTGCATGAGTTGTTTTTAGACTCTATTTCTATCATCCTCGAGATTAAAAAACGGCCCCTCCCTAAAATATTCAAAGGTGCTCAGTAGACATTTTATAACATTTGTATAGAATGCTGTGTGGACCTTTTGCTAACAAGGAAATAATTGGGGGCTTTGCTGAAACCTCTACGAATCGTGATTAAAAACTGGCAGAACAGCCATTGGCTCAAAGATTAGATGAAGAATAAAATTCAGAATTAACCATTAACCTGAGGCTTAGTTTGTATCACACAAGCTACATTTTCAGGAGCATATAAACTCTAATAAGTTTAATTAATAGCTAACACACTTTTCATGTGGATAAGTAAGTTTCTTATTGTATTAACACCTTATAATTGATTTACATTTTAAACGGTTGTAATTCTACTTAGTTCAAAGTGATATTTCCATATTCAGAAAGACAAGTATTAAAGAACCCTGATTATTAAATCTTGACTTTGATCATGAAGCCAGCTTTGAAATACATGTTTCACTGAGCCCTTTCAAGCTAGCTAGCACGCTCAAAAGTGTGTGTATTAAATTTGAATACATCACCCATCAAATTCTTCTCCTTTCCTAACGTGTTGCTATCTGGCTTTATTTGGCACTTCATTATTTCCTTTTGCTTTCCCTAAAATGCCTGAAGAGTGCATAATAATCAAGCAAAAGAATGAAATTTTTAACATTAACCCAGTTTTACATTTCAAAGAGGTGAAGCTAAAGATTTTATCGGAACTCTACCTTTCCTGGTAAAAAGACTTACTCTGACCTAATGATGCTGACGAAATGACAACACACACTCTTTATAGTGTTTTATTTTAAATTAGCGAGAAGAATTGTTTAATGAAGGAAATGCCTATCAATGGAAATAGTGTGTGGTTATTATAGCAACTGAAAAATAAAGAAAACTAGAAGAAGAAAAAGTGACTTCTTATAAACCCATCACCAAAGGCAACCACTTTCAACATTTTATTTAGTGCATTTCATTGGTGCCTCTTCCTGTTCAACATTTCTTTTTTCTTTTTTTTTAATGTGGTTGAACTTAAAGATGCCACTTATCACATCATGTGCTCTGGCGAGGCGTTTTTTAAAGGAATATAAAATACCATGACTTTGTGCTGGGGGTATAGTGCGGAGTCTTCAGTGGGAATGTAGGAGAATGCCAGGAGACCAGTCCAGGTCTGCAGTTCACTCGATGGAGATCAGAGAAGTAGGCTAGGGGTGGGGAAGCCATTCCCTGCTGAGCTGCCTTCTTGCTGGTTCACAGGGGCTGGGAACTGACGAGGACTCCCTCATTGAGATCATCTGCTCCAGGACCAACCAGGAGCTGCAGGAGATTAACAGAGTCTACAAGGAAAGTGAGTATCCCTATTTCTGTGATTTGTCCTCTTAGCCCCAGTTCTGTGACTTCGTCGTGGCTGCCTGGCTTTGTGTTCAGGAGAGGATGTCTGGATTATGGGTATGCGGGAGTGCCCGCCACCTTGACCGTTCAGGCAAGGTCAAGGTTTTGGCCGTGGTCAAGGTCTTTCTCCGTCTTCTCTTCGTTGCCTTCATTTTGATTGTTACATTCCACTAGAACATCTGCAAAAGGCTAGGCAGGAAGGAAAGGAAAGGACAGAAGACAATATTTAAGGAAAGATCTGATGAGGAGAACTAGAAAGCATTATACACGGATCCATTTATCGGGTGCTGTTCAGTCTCTGGGTAAGAGATTCCCAGCTCTGAACAGTGGATAGTTGAAGAGTGATTACAAGAGACCCCCGTGGACCTGTGTGCACTTAGCAGCACAGGGGGCTGTGGGTAGAAGGGACAGTGCAATGTACTTTGCTACTGCATTTATTTTAAGTTGATGTAGGCAAACGTATTTTGGGGGTATGTATGTCTTGGTGTATATATACAATGTGTAATGATCAAGTTAGGGTAGTTAGAATAGCCATCCCCTCACACATTTACCTTTCTCTGTTTCTGATTCATCTCTAGTGACTGCATTTCAGTATAGATGCTATTTTGAATACTGAAATACAAATGAAAAGCATTATTCTTACTAGTTTTTGCCATTGTGCATTTTCTCAATCACTGGATAATAAAGCACAATTATATGACTGTGTGTACTTGGGTGTAGCCCTCCAAATTTTTGATGTTCAAAACGCATACTTAGAGTCAAGAAGGTTGGGGACTAGTATTTTAACTGCAGAAAAAGTCACTGGTCAAAGGTGAGTCTGAGGATCCAGGTTAGATCCCTGGGTTGATCTAACCCTGTCTGTCCCTTGTCACTGATAATCACCCTGGCTCTGATTTCATGAAGGTACAAGCCATTCCAGAGAGTCTACCCTCGGTCTGGGTTAAGGAGGGGGGATCTGTCCAGCTGACACAGCTGTTCTGCTTTTCCGAGTCTTAGCCGGGACAGGGGTGATTGGGACGGGTAAGGATGGGAAGTGAAAAACCGGGTGTCTTATCTTCCAAGTGTACAAGACTGACCTGGAGAAGGACATTGTTTCTGACACATCTGGAGACTTCCGCAAGCTGATGGTTGCCCTGGCAAAGGTTGGTTTCCGGTTTCTTTCCTTGCCCTTGCTTCCTCCCAAGGCAAGTCACATACCTCATTTTATACCAGGGAGTGAATTAACTAAATCCTCTGTGCCTGCATCAGAAATTCAGCTGCAGTTTCGACAGTGGCTTTGCACTGTCGCTGCAGAGTTGTCATTTTGGTATAATAGGATTTCTTATCCTGCAAAACCGCATGGACTTTGGGGGCCAGAGGAGGAGATGGGTGGCTTTCAAGTTCTGGCCTGGACTTACAAGCCAGCCTTGGTCTCCTGACTAAGGGAAGGTCACTTTGGCTCTGTCAGTGACTGCATAGGACCCAGTGGGAAGTGACCCTCTTGTTTCTTTCCCCTGGTCTTTCGTCTTAGAGGAGAATTTGCCCACATAGCCCTTTTGCTGGAGTGTGAGGGGGTCTTTATGGAGCTGAATGCTAACGCTAGCCCATTAACATGGAGGAAAGCGCTTTCCCCTATGAGTCTCAAGTTCCGATCGGTGTGTAACTCAATGCCTACATGCCCGGGGAGGGAAGAGAAATTATTTTCTCAAAGAGTCCTGCTGACAAATGATCAACAGTGTGCAGCGTCCTGGCCCACTCACATCACCATCACTGCACCGGCTCCCTGGCTCTGCCCTCCCCTCTCCCACCTGCCCCATGTACAGACCTCTTAGAAATACGTTTTCACCATTTTACTCACTTGTTCAAAACTCATTTCTGCTACATCAAATTCAAAGTCTCAATTGCTTTTAAAGGTCCTGCGGTGACAGTGCAAACCCACTGTCAAAAATGCAGGCGAATTTCTGATGCAGACACAAAGGATTTAGATAATTCTCTCCCAAGTGTAAAATGAGATGTGTGAACTCGCCCTGGTCCACCCTCCCTTCATCTTCTTTGCCTGGATTCTCTGCTGCGCAGCTCTGCTGTGGCAGGGCAACACCCCCCACACCTGCAGGCATGCTCTGCCCCTGCCTGTGCTGGCCGGCTGTGCAGAATGGTGCTCTGCCCTGCCCTTCACCAGCCGCATCCGACTCACGTTCAAGCCCTACCCCCTTGTTCTTACTCTGCTGACTCCACTCTGAGAGTTTCTATAGATTATCAGGTTGTTTTTCCATTTGTTCTATGCTTATTTCTCCATCTGGTTGCAGCCTCTCAGAGGAAAGGAACTAAATCTCATTAGCTTTTTTGGGGGGCGGGGATCAGGGATGGGAATGCTGTAAGGTCTCCTCCACCCAGGACTGGATACGGAGGACGGGGTGGATGGTGGCACGGCCCAGCACCGGGCCTACCTGAACTGTTTTACCATTCCCTGGTCCTATCTAGACCTCAAAGCGAAGAAGAATTTTAAGTGGTTGTTTGCTCAGGATATCAAGTAATGGCTTACATAAGTTGAGGAGAAAGTATTTCTAGTTTAAAATACACAGAGAAATAGAGTTGATGTTCTTCATTTTTGTACTGTAGGGTAGAAGAGCAGAGGATGGCTCAGTCATTGATTATGAGCTGATTGACCAAGATGCCCGGGTAAGTACTGAGCTTTTGGCTTTGTGCTTCTGTTTTGTGGTTAAGTCTCTGGATAGTCTGTGTAGTGATCTATGCCTTTGTAACAAAGCACCCCAAACGTAGGTGCTTAAAACAACAGACCTTCATTATCTCTCAGTTTATGTGGGTTGGGAACCGAGGAGTGGCTCAGCCCGACAGTTAGTTCTGGCACAGGGTCTCTTGTGAGGCTACTGACCAAATGTTGACTAGGGGTGCAGTCGCCTGATGGCTTGACTGGGTCAGGGGGGGTCTGCTTCCAAGGTGACACACCTGCATGACTGTTGGCAGAATTCCTTACAATCCCTCCCGTAGGCGTCTCCACTGGGTTGCTTGCGTGTCCTCACAACATGGCAGTGAGTGATTCAAGAGAGAGCAAGGAGGAAACCACAGTGTCTTTTGTGACCTAATCCCAGAAGTCCCAGTTGTCACTTGTGTCATAGTCTTTCCACTGGGAGTGAGTCACTGAGTCTACCTCCTAGTCAGTGGGAGAGGAACAGGGCTTTACCTTTACCACTGGAAGGAGGAATATCAGAGAATCTGTGGCCATGTATCAAACCCACCACAGTCTGACCACAGTATTTATTAAAAGATATTCCTCGCTGTTAATTACAGGATCAATACCTGACTTGAATCCGCTCATTCAGGCTTTGCCTGCGTGGAAGCAGGAGTGTGTGCAGGGCGTGAGCTGGCTGTGCACACTGGTGTGTGTGCATTTCAAGGGAGCAAGTGAGGGGGAGCAGGAGAAGATGGTGAAGGCCCCGCCAGGGCCAGGAAGGCTTACTCTCCCTCCTGGTGGGGAGAGGGAGGGTGGCAGAGGCCCACCCTTCTTTTCCAGCCCAATAGCTCTTTTATCAGTTCTAATTTCTTGATCTTTGAGAAGTCTATGTTATGCTCATTCAGGCTGCTATGAATGATGTTCCTTACTCAGTCATCTCAAAGCATGTCACAATAGCTGCAGAAAAGAATTCATTCTAGTGCCATCTCATCACTAGCTATCTACTCAGAAGGAAAAAGTCATCTTATCGTAAGGACATATGCAATAGATTGTTCATTGCAGCTTAATTTACAATCGCCAAGATACAGCATCAACCCAAGTGCCCATTAACCCGTGAGTGGATTTGTAAACTGTGGTATATGTACACCATGGAATACTACACAGCCATAAAACAATGGAGACTTTACATCTTTTGTATTAACCTGGGTGGAGTAGGAGAACATTCTTTAGTAAAGTATCACGAGAACAGAAAAGCAAATAACCAGTGTATTCAATGCCGATATGGAGTCAGTAGATGATCTAATGGACACGCCCACACAAGAGAGAAACTCATTTCATTCAAGCTGGGAGGAGGGGCAGAGAGGGGGGTGGTGTGCTCTCCCTGAATGGGCACAAGGTAAGGGTATACGGCTCATCTCCTGGGTGAGGGGCACAACTCCAACAGGGACTTTACCTAACAAATGCAAATATTGTAATTTACATTGGTTATAATATTTGTGCCCTCATATTATTCCGAAATTATAATAAATAAATAAAAAGTTTTAAAAACCTTCATTTTGGTTTTAAAGTTCAGTATATCCCGCACAGCCCTTTCAGCAGGTGGCAAAGTTGGCGTTTGCGATGCTGAATGGCTGTCTACTTCTGCATCCGCCTCTCTTCCTCCTGCCCTTCCTGCCATTGTCAGCATCAGTTGTAACCCCTAAATTTTCCAGAAACTGAAAATGAGATTGGATCAGCTCCTTTTGTGTCTCCGTCATTTCCTGAGTCTCTAGGAAATAGCTGTCCTCAGTGGAGGGCCTCCAGCCTCTCCGCTGCTCAGTGTGCTGAAAGGGAGGGGCGGATGTGCTGAGGGACTCGGAGGTTCCTGAGCTCTGGGTCCTCTCGATTGTGTTCGGGGAAGTAGATTGTGTGGCCCTGACCTCATGAACAGTCTGCAGTCTCCAATTCTATTTGTTTGTGCCTGCGGACGGCTGCTTGTGATTAAGCCTTTTGATCTAATAGTACATTTTTGCCCATGTCTGCGAGGCGGTCATCTGGTCTCATCTGGCATTTTCAACGTGTAGCTTTGTGGGTTTTCTGCCTGACATTTCTTAGGACCTTGCTCTGGCTCGTGTGGTTCACTTTCCCTGGTTGGTTGTGCCCGCAGGATCTCTATGATGCTGGGGTGAAGAGGAAAGGAACCGATGTTCCCAAGTGGATCAGCATCATGACGGAGCGGAGCGTGTGCCACCTCCAGAAAGGTGGGCACTG